CTCCTGCGTTCATAACTCATGCCTCTGTTTCTTTAGAAAGACACCATATAACTGAGACATGTGTTGAATTCTAAATGGAGACGGCATGGAGATTATCTGTGAACCAAACACTGAGTTCATGTTTCAGTAAGCAGTTCAGTTGTTCTTTTCCTTAAGAAGAAGGAGAAGCAGCAGCAGCAGCAGCCCACCTGCTTTTTCCTGTGCCCTGCCCCCTCCCAGCACACATGACTTAGGAATTTTGTGTCAGGGAGCCCAGGGCACTGACCGGCACGCCTCCACACTGTTTGTGCTGTTGCCTTGGACACTGGGACACAATCCCTGTCTTTCCAAATCAGCTCACCTGCTGAGTAACGGGCTGGCCGAGGCCCAGCTGGCTCCTCCGAACTCCCTGGAGCATCAGACCACAATTCCTCCCTCTAAAAAGTCGCTTTGGTTTTGGTCAGGAACACGGAAGGAGTTTCTAACCCTTCTCTGGGTCCTAAGAATGAAAGACTAACCAACAAAGCAGTTAGGTCATTAGAAATGGAAAAGGAATCCGGGCCCTTTGCCCTGAGCCCAGAGGGGCAGGTAGGTGCAGTTGTGCTGGTGTAGAAGTTGTCTAGGGACGACACTCTAGGAGCGTTGGCACTTTCTCACACACCCTGCTTCCCACAGCATGAACTAGGGTCAGAAAAACTCCGGCCTTGTGGAGAGGGAACCCAGAGGACAAGAACCATTTCTGCTTTATATTGATTTCCCTATGGCAATCAATAAAGTGATGAGACCTCGATGCACTTTTGCTCTAGGAGTGGTGGGTGGGGTGAGGGGGTGTGAGTATGGAGGTGATGGAGAATTCAAAGTCCATGACCCTGCTCCCTGTGTAACTTTTCTGCTGGCACTGGTATGAGCAGCCCGGGTGGGGGCTGGGAGCTGGAGGCTCAGAGTACCTGCTATCCCCAGGCATGTCCTGGGGATCTCCAACCTAAGAATTTTCTTCAAGGTTCATGTTGTTTGTGCACACGTGTATGCATGTGTGCGTGTGTGCGTGCGTGCGTGCGTGTCTGTGTGTGTTTCTTTTAAATTAAACTACTTTTTGAAATAATCCCAAACTTACAGAGAAATTGAAAGCATAGTGCAAAGAACATCTTTTTATCCTGTCTGAACCATTTAAAAGTCAGTTGCCTATATATTTGTTTTCCCCCCAGTAACCTATATTTTATCGACCTTTTTTGACTTTAATAACTAAAGTAATAAAAGTTTATTAATGCTATTTTTATTTTATAGTGATAATTTTAAAAAATTTAAATTGTTGTTTTCTTGGCTATTTTATTTTATTTTATTCTAGTTTTATTGAGATGTAACTGACATTGCTGCATGAGCTAAAGCCCTTTAAGCACAGCGTGTGACACATGGTAAACACCCAATGCATGTTTGCTCCGCCTAATACAGCTGCATTTACTTTAACACATGGTAAACACCCAATGCATGTTGGCTCCGCCTACTACAGCTGCATTTACTTTAACGTAAAGAAGTCTCCCACGCCCTGGCTGGGTGTGGAGTTAGCCTGTGGCTTCAGGTAGCTCCTGGCACACAGATCTGGGCGCCTCGGGGTGTTTATCCAGTTTCAAAGGCTGGGAGTGGCTTTCTGCTTCTTTTCAGGCCGGAGGAGCAGGGAATGAACAGCCCGAACGCCAGGCCTCCCTTCTCCTCCGACTCTCTCCTCCTTCCCCGATCTGCACCTCTCACCACATCCTGGGGCAGAGCAAAGCAGCGATGAGGGGAAACGAAGCAGGACCAAGCTGAGCCATTTCCCAAGAGCTCCCAGCTCCCCGTGCTGCTGGGGCACCATGCTGGCGTCCAGAGCCCGGCCAGGACCCTGGAGAGCCATGACCTTGGCTTTGTTCCGGTTTCTTTACATCGTGGCAAGAAGGCAGGCCCCAAGGCTGAAAACCTCCCCATCCCAGACCCTGCCCCCCGGGATGGTGATTCCTCTAGAGTAGGGGTGTCGAACTCAATCAGAGAAGGGGCCAAAATCTAAAATCCAGCCTAAATCGAGGGCCGAATGGTTTACTCAACAGTCATAAACTGTCATTGTGATGGAAACGCAGCGGAGTGCAGTGATGACAGCGCGGTGCGGGCCTCATTGCAAGGCCTGGCGGGACGGATTTGGCCCGCGGGCCTTGTGTTTGACACATGTGCTCTAGAGAGCAGGCTAAAAGCTTCATCCCGGCTCCCAGCCTGCTCCTGAGCCTGCCACCTGCTCCTTCTGCAGGGCACGTGGCTCTGGGGTTGTTCAGGACAACCCGGGTCTCCTGGGTCCTTGGGGACCGCGGGGTTTGTGTGAGAGACTGTACGCCTGCTTTCCTGATGAGGTCACTGTTCCTTGGATTATGACCTTGCTTCCCTTGGCCTGAGCAAGCAGCAGGAATGCCTTGGAGTGGGGTTTGTTTGTGAAACAGTAACTCCCTGCCTAGTTACGCCCGAGCCGGCCCGCTTGCCTCCAAACCCCGACCTCTCTCCCCCAAGGTCTTCAGTCTTCAGTCCTGTGGGTGCAGGTGTCTGTTATCGGCCTCAGAGCTAGAGGCCAGCTTCCTTCCCAGGCCCCAGGGATGTGGCAGGGCCGGTGGCCCCCAGGGCCAGCCTACTTGGTTGGCTTCATCTGAGGGCTAATTTTGCTGGTAGGGAGTGCAGGCAAGAGGCCAGGGCCACATTTGGCAGCGACCAGGCAGCTCCTGGAGAGACTGAGCCGTTGGAATCCACGGTGAAGTCCAAGGATGGTCACCGCCCTCCACTTCCTGCCTGTGAGCCAGGGCCGTTGGCTGTGTGGACCTGGCCCGCAGTGCGGCTGGGCTGCCTCAGGCTTCAGGCTCTGACCCCCCCCCCCCCCCCCACACACACACCACGGGGAGCAGGTAGCCTGGGGCCCTGCCAGCCTGGCGCCACTGTCTGTCAGCCACCCGAGGGCACTGGCTGGGGATGCTGGCCCAGGGCTTTGGAACGATTCTATTTCCAGCCTCTGACTCCCTCTTCAGCCCCCGCTCCTGCTGAGCCACTTCTCCCCACGCCCAGCCCGGCTTCTTTCTGAATGGATGGGATTATCATAACACCATATGTTAGGAAAGCAATTCACAATTTATAAAGTCCTTTTATGCACCAGCTTCTCTTCTGATCTTACATCGGCCTGGGAGGTCCAAGGGCAGGTCCTTTAACCCATGACTCACAGAGGAGGGACAATGGAGGCTCTCTCTCTCTCTCTCTCTCTCTCTCTCTCTCTCTCTCTCACACACACACACACACACACACACACACACACACACACACACACACGGCAAGCCTATAAGTCGGTGTGGGGCTGAGACTTAGAAACTTGGCTTCCTGCCTTGAGTCTGGTGCTCACCCCACCAGCCTTCGTGTCCAGGTGCGCTTGTGTACGGCACCAGCGAGTGGGATCCCGCAGGACAGGACCCCCTGGGGTGGCTGTTTCCTGTCTTCTTCAAGGAGGACATTTACTTCCAGGGAGCGCTGCCAGGCTGGGCAGAATCCTGAGCTCTGCCCAGAGTCTGATGTGAGCAAACGCTGGCTGATTTGAAGCGAGACCTCTCTCCGAAGAGGGCCCGGGCCCAGATGCTCAGAGAGCAGAAAACACAGTGTGCTTTGCTGTGGCTGGAGTCCGAAACGTTGCTCAGCACTTGGCCAGAGTCCCGGCTGCCCCTCCCTCTTTGGGGCTGGGCAGGATCCAGGCCCCCTGCCCTTCCTGGAAAAGCACAGGCCCCTCTTCATCCAACCGGCAAAGGCCTGGCTGCTCGCCTCCTAGGGAAGGAGTTTGGCTTCATGCAACCTGTGCTCTGAGGGGCCAGCCCAGGGCTGGGGACTCCCGAGGTCTCCTGGAGTGAGGGGTGTGGAAAAGGAAGAGCTTCTCTCCTTGGCTTCTCTTCAGCCCCCGACAGGGCAAGGAGTCAGGTCAGCACAGGCCAGCTGCCCTGCCAGTGGTCTGTGTGTGGCACATCACATTCCTTCTGCTTCCACTCCCTGGGCTGCACACACCTTCCCCCAACCTATCTGACCCCTCCCAACAAAGGATATTAATAGATATGAATCTCATTTCAGGTTTAAAGTAGTCCCCCTCCTCCCCTCCATCCTTTTTTTTTTTTTTTTTTTTTTTTTTTCTAGGCACATGGCCTTGTCTGAAGAATGAGATCTCTCTCCCCAGGCCCTGTAGTGATGCATTTTCCAAAAACCTCTCAACAGAGGCTGACATTCTTATAAGAAAGTAAAAACGAAATGCAATTCGCATCCTGAGGAGATTCATCTTTTTTGACTGTGTTTTTCCTTGCTTGTCCCTCAGTCTCTGCCAATTTGAAGTCAAGGTGTCACGTGGTTCCTTTTAAAATTGGGCTCTGGCTGCTGCTGCTGCTTTTCCTACCCACTGCCCATCTGCCTGCTCTAACGGCAACCAAGTACCGGGCGGGGGAGAGGGGGCTGCCACAGAGAGCGCTCAAGTAAGAACTGAAATATTTGACTGAACGTGGTCCTCACAGAGGCGATTTTATTACCCTACATGTCCCGGAAACCCTGTTGCCTCTGGTGCTAGGAGACTCCAGGCTCCGGCATTCTCAGATGGCCCTCTGTAGCTAGCCCTGGCACTTTCTGCAAGTGGCTGTGACATGAGTCATAGTGAGCCGTCTCTGGGGAGGCTAGCCAGGAGGTGAGCACAGAGGGAAATCACTGCATCTTCCCTTGCCCAGGAGGCCAGGCTGGGGATGGCCACGGGGCCTCCTGGGGCTTGTGGTAGGGAGGAAGGGATCAGCATCAGCCAGAAGGAGGATGAACTCAGAGAGGACAGGCCAGGCCAGACCAGGCCCCATCAGAAATGGTCCTTGTGTTGCATGCTGGGGAGGGCCTGTAATATCAGAACCAGCTATGGCCGTAGGTAAAGGAACAATGAGATCCAGATGCATGATTCTGTCCATGTGGGAAAGTCTTCTCTCTCATGCAAGGAGGGAGCCTCAGGCACAAACAACGCACGTTTTATTTTTATTTGAATTGGCCAATAAAAATGTTCTGTACATGGTAAACACTTCACCATGAAATATTTAAAGTAAAAATAAATAAGTTACTTCCATCCTACAGGCATCTCCAGCTGCCACATACAAATAGAGGACATCAGCTGTAAAGTAAATACGTTAACATAAATAGTCTTAGGATACTCTCTGATTGATGGGGTCAGTTTAAATCACCTGCTGAAATCATTCTACCAAAGCAAGGTATTGTTAATTCCACCAGACTATGCCATTTCAGGAAACATCAGCACTCAACATTTGACTTTTAATTGTTTTTTTTTTCTATTGAAAAACTGCACATAAAAGAACAGAGAATTCATGCAATCATGCCAAATGTTCCTCAAAACCCACGTTGATGATACTCTGGATCGGGTGTTTGCCCTACGAAGTAAATATATAGTGATCTGTGATGGAAAAGCCTTCCTCGTCAAGAGGAAATAAATGTGACGCCAGGAAGAGTAAGAACCATCATGTTTACAGGTGCCGCAAACACCAAGCTCTTACGTTTACACAGAAATCACATGTATTAGAATGACTCACAAGGAAGACAGAAGAATCACCTGCTTCCTTCCTTGGAGGTCTTTAAAATGGGTTGGGACAATTTTATTTTGGTGTGGTTTTGCTTAAACATGGAGATATAAGCTTATGATCTTCCAAAGTCACTGTAAGACCAGGGGCTTAAGCTATTCTAAGAAGGAACGGCCCTTGTGTTTTTTTTTTACCTTCGAGGGAAGTTCCTTTTGTGCATCCTAGGCTGGGGGATTGGGTAGTGAGGGAGGGTGATGGGATGTGTTTGTACCAGGTACTTGCAGAGGTAAATGTGTTCATGAGGCTCCATTCCAATCCAGCGTTCTCCCTCCGTGCAGTGACCTTTGTTTTGCATGTGTGAAGGTCGCCTTTAGTCGGCCTCAAAGGCGCTGTTGGTCGCTCCCACGTACTCAGCCTTCTTCTTATGCCTCACCCACATTTTCCGGAGGATGCTGGGGATGCCGCAGGACACACTTCCTGTCAGCGGCAGGGAGGCTTCTGCTCCCTGGGGAAGGGTTGGGTACTCTTCAGTCATCTTCTTGAGATGCCTGGATCTAAAGAAAAGCCAGGGGGTGTCGGGAGGACAGTCACTTCCCTGAGCCAGACTTCCACGTGTTGCCCTGAAGAAGCATATGGTAGCCTGAGCTCTTATTCCTCCTCTGCTCACACAGCCTGTGACCTGGAGGGAGGGTCGCTGTTGGGCCCCATGCAGGAATGACACCCCCTGGGGGATCCTCCAATAGGATGAGGGGGGGAGGTGGCCTTCGCTATGCTGGTTTATGGGGCTCAAGTTCTGCTCTTGTCCCAAGTGCCACTTGCTCTCATCACCCCCCTGCCCCCCACATCTCCACATGAATAATTTTGCTGACTGGGTTTCCCAGAGCATTGGCTATTGGGTTGAATTCTGCCCATCCACCCCAACCCCCCACCTCCCCCCAGGTACTGTGTGATGTCAGGCAAGTGACTTAACCTCAACCAGCCTCAGTGTCCTCATGCACAAAGTGGGGATGATTTCATCTAACTCCTGGGGCTTTTGTGAGGAGGAAAATGAGAAAATAAACCATCTGAAGTGTGTAGGCCTCCATAATGTTTCCTCCTCACTTTCTTTCCTTATGAGAAAGAAATGGCCTTACTTATCAATAGCCAGGGCCCAGGAGCAAACTGCGATGAGAATGTCTGAGCTTGGAGAAAAGAATTCGTTTAGTACCTTTGCAGGGCGGCTCTGTGGGTTGGTAAGGTTGCCTCTGTTGCAATTGTAGTAATTTTTTACTGGTTGGCTCCAGCAGCCACCAAAAGCCATTGTTGTTGAGGACAATTGGCTTCTAGGACTTACGCAGTCCAAACAATTATCTCAGTTTCCAACACTCAGGTCCCAATAGGTTGAGTGGCTTGGCTTTTATAATTCTCCTCGGATGGCTTTCTTTCATCTAGAAGGGTTCGGAATTGGCCTGTTTCCCCATGGGCTCCCACAGCGTTCAAGGTGTGCTCCACTGGATTGATATCTTAGTCCACGGCCCCCCACACATCTGCCTCTAACACGGTCCCGAGTATGTGCCTTTCCAACTCCTAAACTGTGAGTCTCTTGAAAAAAAAATGATAGCAATGGTTTATGCTAAGCTCTTTATCCATCATCTCATTCAATTCTCACAATACTCTTCCAGAGGGGTACATCCCCAGATTTTGTTTGCCTTTTAAAAAAAAATTTTTTTTTTTTAAAATAAATGAGGACAGGGAGGTTTGAATAACTTGCCTGAAGTCACAGCAAGGCAGGGGTGTGCCAGGCAAGCGGAAGCACTTGACTGCCACCTGCAGCATGGAGGATGGTGGTAGGGACACAAATGGACAAGGTGAACTGAGTTTAAGGCTCCTGCCCACCACCTTCTTAGCGTACCATTGAATATCCTCTGGATCGGATATTTGCCCTACGAAGTAAATATTGTATATAGCGCTCTGCTGGCCCCTGGATTACAGGTACCAGTAACGTGGGGGTGATAAATTTGGTTAGAAACCTTTGACTTTATGTACTTTTTTTTACCTTTGAACAAGGGCCATGAACCCAACTCAGGAGGCATTTCTGACCTCAGCCTGCCTAGGGGAGGCTCTGAATATGGCCTGTGATTACATTTATCTAATTAACCCCTAGTCCTCCAAATGACAGTTCTCCAAGCCTAAAGACTGGCGTTAATGAAGTGGAAACCCTCAGACAGGCTTCGCCTTCATCCTGGAGAAACAGTTACCCAGGGTTATTGTCCTCATTAAGGGGACATGTGCAGCTGGCATGGGTCTCGTGTGAGCATCTCGAGAGTCTGTCAGTCAGGCCACCTGTTCCTCTTCTGCCGCAGGGCCCGGCAGGTGGGGCGCCCTGCGGGCAGCGGGCTGGGAGGCGCGGCACTTACCCTCTTGTCCGAACAGCTCTGTTGTCAGAGCCGCTGGGAGCGGCCGCCTCCAGGACAGCTGTGGGGGCCTTCACTGAGATCCGGGCCACTGGAGGCATCTGGGTTGTGAGGAAGGGGAAGAGAATGTGAGGGTGTAGCCATGGTCCCAACTCCGGCAAGACAGGAGCCACTGAAAGGGGAATGAATGGCTACAAGGAACCACCTTGAACCCAGGGCAGTAGTCTTTACACCCGGGTGGGCAACAGACTCCCCTGGAGGGCTTGTGAGCACCGTGCCGGGCCCACCCGGGTAGCGGTCCAGTGGGTGTGATGTGGGCTTGAGCATGTGCGTTTCTAACAAGTTCCTAGGTGCTATTAGTCCCAGGACCCCAATTTGAGAAGACACTTGAGCGAGAGCAATTCATTTTTTACCTGAGAACTCTATTCTCAGGCTCCCATTGTTGTCAACTCCTGCAGGTTCTTGCTTTGAAGTATGGCCCAGATTCCCGCCATCCTTTCCATCTCCTCTGCTGCAGCCTTCAGGGCCAATCACCTTGGGGCCTCCTTGTTTCCAACCATTCCCCAGACCCCTCCTGGATTTGCAGGGCCTCCCATGGCGGGGTAGACTGAGGCCAACGCTGCACCTGCTCTTCAGGGCTCTGCAGAGCCAGCTCCACCTCCTCTATGCAGCTCCACCTTCTGCCACCTCCCAGCTCCGCCTTCTGTCAACCCCATGGGTGTCAGCAGTTCCAGTCCCAGCAGGGCCACTCCTGCCTTCCCCAATGCTCACCCCCAACTCCTCATCTTCACTGGGCCTTTCCTTCCCTCTCTGGGCAGAGCCTCATCCCTGCCTGCCCTTCAAGCTCACTTCCTCCAGGAAGCCTGCCATCTGGCTGGTGGCCCATGTTGATTGCTCTCAGTCTTTACACCCCCACAGCACTGCATACCACCAGTTCTCAGTCCTTACACCCCCACAGCACTGCATACCATGGTTCATACGTTTGTCCAGTTTCCTAGTCTCCAGAAAGGTCACATAGCATGTGGCAGGGCCTGGGACGTCAGCCTTTGGTGGCCCTATGCATCTTCCCTAACGGAGGTGGTGAGTGCTCAAGAAACATTTGTGAAGTAAAAATTAATGGGTGGCCTAACCTGGACTAAGCCCAGAGTCTGCTCTGTCAATGGTCATACGCGCTGTGCTTTGTTCCTCCACCCCGTGACCCACTGAAGGCACAAGGTCACCGTATTCTGGGAACAGCCGAGAGATTCCAGGTTGAGGACACCCTGATTCACCTCCCCCTTCTCTCCTGAGCCGGCCAGAGGTTGTGGGCAGAGTTACTGTGCCACCTTGTGGCCTCCAGGGAGCTCTCCCTCCCCATGATGCCAACAGACCTGGGAACAGATACCCACTCACCTTCCTCCCCACTGTCCTTAGTCCCATTTCAGTGTGGAATCCGGTTTAGTCATGCGAGCTCTGAATTGCTCTCCAGTCTTTGATGAGCTACGGGACCCCAGCCCCACTGTCTCAGGCCCAGAGGAAAGGGCCAAGCATGCTGCCTCTGTCCTCTGCATTATTATTGCCCCCCCCCTCCCCCTTTGTAACTGGGTCCCCATCACCACCCTCTCCCATCCCAACCTGCTCTGGCCTCTCAGCTGCAGCTACTGTCCGAGCCCAGCCCCAGACCTGGGGGCCGGTGATCCAGGCTATGAGCCCGCTCTTCCTAGTAATGTCAGCTTTCCCCTGGGCTTGGCTGAGCCCAACTGTTCGAGCTGTCACAGCCTGACAGCTCCCCCCTGTAGCAATAGCCCAGACATCCTGTTTCCCTTGGTACTAGGTTGAGACAGGGGGCTCTTGACAAAAATGGCTTGTCCCATCCCTGCCCGTTGTGTGGTTTTCCTAGGACAGGGTGGCTTAGATGAGATACTCAGGTTAGATTTCCTCTCAGACCAGGAGCGAAGTTCTCACCTCTCCATACTATTTGTTCCATGAGGACAAGAGGCTGGGCCAGACAGTCTGTCAGATGTTTTGTCCTCAGATGGCACAGTCCACGAATCTTGGGGGCTGATACTCATTAAGCACAGGCTGCTCGAGCCAACCTCGCCTCCAGCCATGACCTCACCCCCTACTGTGCTACCCAGAGGGTGCCCATGTTCATGCCCACAGGGAGATGCAGGAGACGTATTTTTTTCAGGGTGACTCTGAGCTAGACCTGGATATGTGCCACCCGATGGTCCCCCTTCATGACAGGACAAGCTTTCCAGAATGTGGGACGGCAGGCAACAGAGGGCTCTCAGGTCCCCCAGGTATGTCTCAGAAGGGCCACATCGTCTGAGGTCATGCCCTCCTGGGGCACCTCACATGCTCTGACAGGGCGAGAAGGAAACAAAGCCCCGGGCATGAGGACCTAACTCGGGACAACCCAAATGGGAAACACTTGCCCCAGAGCTCCCACTGGGAGGGGTCATGCCTGTGTGGCAGTGCCTGAGCCTGCCACCCTTCTCCTGCAGGTATTGGTCCCTTCTGCACATTGCTTTTCATCCTGAGATGACTGCTGTTCGGAGTTTTCATGAAGCTTGAGCCCTCTCACATCACTTTCCCCTGTAGCTGTTGCCCTTGGGAATTAGTCAGGCATGTCCATCTGGCAGGGGCCAGCATAAACATGTTTCTCTCCCTCCCTCCCCACCCATGTTTGAAATGTACGCTAGGTAACACCTTCTGTTTTCCTAAGGGGTTGAATTTTTGGCAAGGAAGAACCCCCGGCATGCTTTTCTATACAACCCTCAGAACTGGCCCAAAGGATACGGGCCTCTCATCTTAGCACGGAGAGGGCACCACTGGCACAGCAACCCAGGCTGAGAGACTCACCAAAGCCTTTCCGTAGGGCCGACTCCCACGCAGATTGGATGATTTGGGCTCAGCAGGCCCCACTGCAAAGGTGAATGAAAGACATGTCACCCAGGGCACTCTGTCCTGTCCCCCGTGGGTCTGCATCAATGATCAAAGTCAGGAATTTCTTCCTTTTTCAAAAAAGTTATCTTTTATATGTACTATTTTAAAATTATAGTTTACATTCATTATTATTCCGTATTAGTTTCATATGTACAACACAGTGGTCACCAGAGGACACATCCTGGAAGGCCTTGGGCAGGGTATTGGGTGGTTGCAGGTGGCAAGGATGCAGTGTTCAACGTAGAGGAATGGCATCAGCAGATTTCTGCTTCGAAGGACCCTTCTGATAGCCTCTGGGAGGGAGGGGAACTGAAGGTCAGGGTTGGCTGTTACACACAAGGGATGGTGAAGGGACACCGAGTCCAGGCAGCCTGAGGTTCCAAAAGGGAGAGATGAGCCATATCTAAGAGCTGACACTGTCAGTGTGGGAAGTGGGGGGTAGAATGGGGTGGGGAAAGAAAGGAGTGTTAGGAAAAACACCCAGTGGCTTGCTGGAAGGATGCACAGTGGCCCCAGCTGAGAAAGGAAGAGAGGTTTGAACAAGGAGGATGAGTTCTGTTGATTCTGAGGTGCCTCAGGACACCGTGGGGGAGAGGTTCCATGGTTGACCAGATCTCCCAGGCTCAGGAGGTGGGGTGTCCCTCTCCAGACTCCTGAGGCTCACCTGCTCAAGGTCTCATGGTGAGAGCATTTGTCAGCTGGGCCTCTGCCTTCAGAGTCCCCACAATTTCCAAGATTCCTCAGGGAATCTTGCTCTCATGTGAGAAGGCTGTAACATCCAGGAGCCTCCACTGTAGCTCAGAAAAGAAACAAGTCCCGGATCTGAGATCCCTGGAGACTCACCTCCTCTGACAGATCTTAAGATGGTAGTTTATGACGAGTCTTTGCCCGAGGCCGGTGCCAAGCCCTCCTGTGGAGAGCATTGGGTCTGGCTTTGGTTCAGAAACCCTCCCTCTCTCTCACCCCCTCTAGAATCTATCAGATTCGGGAGCTGAAGGTTGAATCAACGCCAGCTCAATCTTGTGTTTTTTTTCCTTCTGAACCTGACTAGCACATTCCCTGCATGAGCTGAGTGTCACATGTTAGGCAGATTCTCTCCATTTCACAACTTAACTGTTCTCCTCTTTCTGAATAAAACACTGACTTGGGCTGTCCAAGCTTCCATAAGCTACTTAGAAAAGAAGGAAAGTGTCCCCTAATACAAGACAGCTGGGAAGACATTATTCTCCGGGGGAGGAGATCTGAGATTTAATCTCGGTTCCATTGCTAACGAGAAGTGTGACCCTGGGTAGGTCACACGGTTTCCATGGTTTCATTTTCCTCTTCTGTAAGTTGGCAGGGATGGGTGCAATAGATCAGTGCTTCTCTGCCTTCAGTGCACATTAGCATCGCCTGGGGGAGGGGATTGTTGTTAAAACACAGATTGCTGGGCCCCACCCCAGAATTTCTGATTCAATCTCTAGGGTGGGACCCAACGTTTGCATTTCTAGCAGGTTCCCCGATGATTCAGCTGTTCTGAAGATCCCACTTTGAGGACCATCCACTAAATCATCTCTAAACCCTTGCTAATCAATTTATTGTCCTCAGGCCAAAATCCTCAGCATCATTAGAAGCATAAAATCTGGGGCCTTACTCAGCCTTACAGAATTGGAATTTGCATAACAACAAGGTTCTCAGGTGATTCTTTTGCACATTAATTTGAGAAACATGGCTCTAAATTCACTTTATGATTTTGTAGTGCAGTTTTTCTCTTTCTACACACATACTGCACCCACCCACCACCCACCTATATATAGACACAGAGAAAAATTGATCTCCTCTTAATTTGCAAGGCAGATTGTGGTTTTCCGAATGCTTTCATTCTACAGACATATGTAGGTATGTAATTACTTCACTAGAGAATACAGATGCTTAATGCATTTCTATAGTGGAATCATAAAAAAAGAAAAAGAAAAAGATCAGGGTGTTAAATAAAAGAAGCCTTAGAGAAGATGGAATAGGTGAAGGGACATACTCAATTAAGTCTTATTTTAGTTCTTGTAACATATAAAATTATTGACACACGAAGGCTTTGAGAAAGACATCCCAGACATTCCATTATATCTCTTTGGAGTTAAAATACAAATAACTGCAGGCTGTGGGCATGACAGAAATAACCTAACCCAGCAAGTAAAGGCAAAATACCATCACAGACCTCAGTGAGCTAGAGGACGATGCCCATTGGACTGCTTGAGGGGGAAGCCATTTATAAACAGTGTGAAAGGTATGACTATACTGTTTCCAGCTTTCAAAACAAATTTGTTCCTGAAATATATTTTTTTATTGATTTTTTCAGAGAGGAAGGGAGAGAGATAGAGAGCCAGAAACAATGATCAGTTGTCTCCTGCCCCCCCCCCCCCCCCCACACACACACACACTGGGGATGTGCCTGCAACCAAGGTACATGCCCTGGACCAGAATCGAACCCGGGACCCTTCAGTCCTCAGGCCGACGCTCTATCCACTGAGCCAAACCAGCCTCGGCTATCCCTGAATTTATTTTTTTTATAGATTGTTGAAATAGCCTCAGTAATGTATAGATGGTGAGATCAAATGTAAGATGGTGAGATCTTGAGACAGTGGTTGACGAAGAGCCTGCATAAGGACACACTCACTGCCTATAGAATAAATAACGCAGGCTTCTTCTGCTATGGGAGTCATGACTACACTGGCTTTCTCTTCCCAGAACATAAAGACTTTCATCTGAATCCAGCAGGGCTTCCTGTGGAGCACGATGGCAGATGAAAGCATCTTTGCTCACAACACGCACCTGTACAGGCGGAAGGGAGTTGTGTGGGGCTGCTGTCGATGGGGTCTGAGAGCAGGTGCACGCAGAGCGGGAAAGCCTGTGTGGGGGGAAAGCATAGTCCGCACACCGCAGGTGCTCTGCTCACCCGGCGTGACCGAGGGCACTGGGAGTACTAAGTACCACGATGCAGTCAGACAGACCACAAGCTGGGACGCAGACACGGCGGCGGCAGCAGCTCTCAGTGAGCCATTGTTCCCCAGGGAGGTACCCGGCACAGGGTCAGTGCACATACCCGGTCTGGCAGGAGTCTTGGCCGGGTGGGGTCCCTGCTGCCATGAGCTGTGGAGCCGGCTGAACCTGGGGCCCTCGCAGTCTCGGTGGTCACTGCGGCGTGGCAGCAGCTCCAGGGGCCGGGAAGCGTACAGGTCCGACTCAATCACCACCTGCGGAGAGGAGAGATAGTCAGCTTGTTCCCCAAATTATATCTAAGGACCCAGGACTATAGCTTTGCAGATGGACCTTGTACCAACGTGCATGTTTGGGAGTCATTCTTACTCCATTGAGTGCTAGGAACAGTGAGAAAACATGGGAAAACTGCCCAGAAACAGCTTCTTATTGAACTTCAGAACGTCCAGGGGTGCAGGGAAACAAGAGCTTCGGAGGTCTCTCACGAGCAGTCCCATCACCGGGTTAGGATCCTGGGCCATCAGGCCAAAACTCAGGGCTGGTCACCTGCACCCTGGCCTGGCAACAGGACTGGTTGTTTGAAAGAAGGCAAGCCAGCTAAGTGGATGCCCAGTGAGGACAGAAGACCTAGGGAAAATGTGGTGTTTTTCCTTTTTCCGCATCCCACATGGAAAGGAAGAAAGACAGGTTCCTGAGGGGAGGAGCTGGGGATTAAGAAATTAGAGAAAGAGCCGAAACCGGTTTGGCTCAGTGGATAGAGCGTCAACCTGCGGACTGAAAGATCCCAGGTTCAATTCCGGTCCAGGGCATCCCCCAGCGGGGGATGTGCAAGAGGCAGCTGATCGAAGATTCTCTCTCATCGATGTTTCTAACTGTCTAGCCCTCTCTCTTCCTCTCTGTAACAACTCAATAAAATATATATTTTTTAAAAAATTAAAGAAAAAAAGAGACAAGAGGCAGAAATAGATTCAAAGCTGGGTGCCTGGTGGCTTCCTGCCCTCTGGTAGAGAGACAGTCACGCCCACCACAGACAACACTGCACATTGATTGATTTCCAAAAGGGATTATAAGGTCAAAAGGACTTTTGGGTGTGCCCAGATCCTATTCATCAAAATCTGGGTAAGCTCCTTATTTTTTGGTACAAGATTTAGTATATCAAGACCTGGGTGAGTCAAAGTCCTATTTGTTCCTCATTCCCAGCACATTGATAAAGATAAGAAATCAGTACTGATAACAGGATTCTGCCAGTGCCCTCGGGCTCAGCTGATAAGATTTTAAAAGAATGTCCATGTGCCTTCCCAGACAGCTCTCTACCGGAAAAGACTTGGGACCCAACTGTCCGCCAGATTTTTAAATGTTTTATTAAAAATATTTTTATTGATTTCAGAGAAGAAGGGAAAAGGGGTGGGTGGGGGGGGGGGAGAGAGAGAGAGAGAGAGAGAGAGAGAGAGAGAGAGAGAGAGAGAGAGAGAGGATTAAAGAATCACTGACCAGGAATTGAAACGTGACCTCCTGTTTCGTAGGCTGATGCGCTCAACCACTAAGCCACGCCGGCCAGGCCAGCCCCCAGTTCTGACACTTTGTGGTGATGTCGGAAGGGGATATCCCTGCTTGCCTTGCTGTCTTGCGGCAGAGTAAGGGCCTGTCACTAGTAGAAATTTTAATAGCACAGATTGCTTTTTTAGTTCATGTCACTTACAGGGGTGGGCAAAAGTAGGTGTGTTCTATGTGGGAAAACTACAAATTAATAAACAACAAGAATAAACTCTGCGTTTCACATACTCACAACTGTAAACCTACTTTTGCCCATTCCTGTATCTATCTACTGTGCCTGAGAACAGTTCATGTCTCCCAAGAGGAAAATAAGGGCAGCTGACACTCTTTGCCTCAGTTTACCACAGATAGTCCTTTGCTTAGAAGATTTATATATCCCAAATTTGATCTTCTCTAGGGTAGGCAGTGAACTCTGTTAGGGCCCATGCTAGGACCCAGACTTATCCATTCTGACAGCCTGGTTTATTTTCCGGTCTGTAGGACACAGTCTGGGCTTTCTGCTGCTGACACTGCTGGTGGTCTTAGAACACACTGAACTGAGAGAGGGCTCTTTACATCCTGAGTGCACAGTAAGATGGGGAACTGGCAGCAGGGGGTGGGATGTCATAACAGGGAGTTAGAAGGACAGGTGAGACTTAGGTGATGGAGCATCATCATGATTTGGGGCTGATGGAATCCATAGCAATGCTCTAGCCCAGCGTTTTTCAACCGCTGTTCCGCGGCACACTAGTGTGCCGCGAGATGTTGCCTGGTGTGCCGTAGGTGCAGACAAGACAAGAATTTTATAATTTTTCACTATTTTGTTTACTTAATATTTCATAATGAAGTAATTATAAAATACTTTCTTTGTGTTTATTTGATTCCTATTCAAGAGAATTACTTTATATATAGTCAATATAGGCACAGAGTTAAATTTTTTAACATTTTCTAATGGTGGTGTGCCTCGTGATTTTTTTCATGAAACAAGTGTGCCTTTGCCCAAAAAAGGTTGAAAAACACTGCTCTAGCCCAACGCCCTCATTTTACACATCGGGAAACTGCCGTCCAGAGAGGCATGTGCCTTCAAGGTCACGGGTCTGTAAGGGGCAGAGCCTGGACAAGAACTATAGTTTTATGATTCCTGAGTGCTCTTTGTCAGACTCACAGAAGCACTTCCATCCAGATAAGAATTTTCCAGTGCAATTGATTGCTCAGTGCATTTTGGAAAATCAGCAGATCACCAGACAAATTCTTCCTCCGCAAGGTTAAAATCTGGGGAGAACGTGACATTTGTAATCTCATTTCTCCATCTTTCCTGGATGGTGCCCAGATGCTTATTAGGAAGGGGCTGTGAATCACAGAGACAGGGCCTCCATTGCACGGGGACTCCTAACTGACCCACACCTTCGTGTAAATTCATCTTTTTGAGCTACTCTTATGTTGGTGGCATCAGGTTGATCAGGATGTCAATAAAATTGCCCAAGAATCCAAGGGGGGGGGGGGCGGGGAAGACCAGAGAGACAGCCTAGAGAAGGAACAATATGTGGCTGTGCCCTGGGTCCAGGAAAAAAAAAAAAAAAAAAAAAAAAAAAAAAAAAAAAAAAAAAAAAAAAAAAAAAAGGAACTCCAGAGAGAGGAGAAACTGTAACACCAAGGATGGTTTAGAAAGGAAAAATATATTTGTAAAGGAAGGAACCTGACATCCACATGGTAGCCGAAGGAGAGAGAATAGACACAAATAAGAACTTCAGACAAAGAAAGTCATAAACATCGGAACATTAGAGCAGTTGCAAGATATGAATCATTTTCTCGGGAACTCAAAGGGAGGAAGAGGGCCAATTGGGTGAGGAAATGAGATCAGAGCCAATTCTTTCTTCTTTGGGCCTCCCTTTCTCCATCTTTGGTGGATTAAGAGAGCTTTCCTGTCTTTTCTAATCTGAGTGTTCTGTACAGCTGGGGCTGAATTTTATAAGCAAAGGATGAGTCAGGCTGTGAGTGGAAATCAGGAATTCAGGAGAGAGCTCAAAGGTTAGAGGGCATGAGGAGGCTGTCTCACCTGGAGGAAGTTTATATTTGAAGACAGGACCCTCACTTCTGATTTTTTTTTTTAATCAAAAGCAATTTTTATATGTATTCATATACTCGAGTCATTTTTTTCCCCCTCTGAGAGGGGAAGTCAGAAACCATAAAGGTAGCAGTCTTTCTCAAAAAATTTCCACTCCCAGGAAACCCGAGAGCGCGGTCTACAGTGCCTGGCTGAAGTCAGTTGGCTATTCCAAGAGGCTGTGCCCATGTTTTGCTGGCTTTGTGTATCTCATGTCCACGTGGCTTCACCTTCACGAGTGAGAATTGTCTCCTTTGTTTAGGTTCTCGGTCCCCTGAGAACTTCCTTCTCTGGAGCCCTAGAAAGTACAGTGATTTATTTCCACTGAAAACGTTTTTGTAACCAGTGTTCTGTCCTTACAAAGCCAGTTGATATTGGTATAAGGGGTGATTCAGAACACTGTTTAAGGTTAGACATCCAAGAACTTGGTTGAGCACGAAATATTCCTAATTCCCAAGGGATCGTCCCTGAGTTATGAATGATTTGTGGTTCTCTCAAATCCAAGGTAACGCCAACCTCAAGGCCTTGATGGAAACATCCGGTGGGAAACTTTTCTTAAACTCTGAGCTACCTACAAACAGCTGCTTCCCTTTCTATCCTTGGGTTCACCCACTAAGTCTTAAAAGGCAGGAGCATTTTTCTACTAGTGTGTGGGCTTAAGTTTTCAGGGCCCACGACAACAAAGGGATTTTCCATCCATTGAAATCCCCTTTCTTTCTTACCATATAAAACATTTGAAAAAGTTATTTTAAGGAGATATGCAACTGGCAGAAAAATGAGAAAAAGACATGTGTAAGGAACCTGGAGGTAAAAAACAAAACAAAAATGAAAACCTATAAAAAGATGAATGATATTAAAGAAATGCAAATTAAAACAATAAGATATTTTCACCTCTTACACTGTCAAAGATTAAAACATTGATACCATACAGTATTGGCTCAGGTGTTCTGGTAAAGGTACTTTTAAAACACAGTTGCTTAGCATTTGGCAATGACTATATAATTTTTTTTCAGTGCTCATATACTTTGATCACTTTCTTTTTTAAAAAAAATTACATTTTTATTGATTTTGGAGAGGAAGGAAGAGAGAGAGAGAGAGACAGAAACATCAATGATGAGAGAGAATCACTGATTGGCTGCCTCCTGCACGTGCCCTACTGGATATTGAGCCGGCAACCTGAGCATGTGCCCTTCACCGGAATCACACCTGGGAAGCTTCAGTTCACAGGCCCATTTTCTATCCCTTGAGCCAAACCAGCTAGGGCCTTTTTTTTTTTTTTTTTAATTGAGACATAATTGATATATAAATTGTGTAAGTTTAAGGAGCACATGTGTTGATTTGATAACCCAGAATTTAATACCTATGAATATATCCTTAAAACATTTGCATAAGAAAATAAAAAATATATTCTAGATAGCTAGAAATGGATAGAACTAGAATTTAAGCCCAGGCAGTTTGACTCTTAAGTCTACAGACCTAACTACTGTGTTCTACAGTTCCTTAGGATTTATTAATACTACTATATTTTCTATCTTCATAATGTTTCAATTTTTTAAAATTGATTTTAGAAACAGAGGAAGGGCGAGAGAGAAACACTGATCAATTGACTCCCACTGGGGATCAAACCTGTAACCTGGGTACATGCCCTGACCAAGAATTGAACTTGCCACTTTTTGGTGTACCGGACAATATTCCAATCAACTGAGCCACACCTGCCAGGGCATAATGTTTCATATTTTATATTGGACACATACTGCTCTGGATATTTAAAAAATAATAAATGTACATTGAAACGACAACTAAATCCCATCTCATTCCAAAGACACTTCAATGGAGAATAAGTTTTTAAAAATTGAGATACTTAGAAAATCAAAATGCTGTTCTATGAAAAATTGTGATAGAAATAGAAATTCCAGTATAACTAAGAAGAAACAATTAGGAGTTAAAATAAATCTTTTAAATTAAAGTACAAAGAGGTATTGACAACTTTCATATAAGAAATCTGTAAATAAAATGAGAAATTTACAGCACCAGTACTCTCTAAAGACATGTAAACTACTGGTATAAGGTAATGCATATACTGTACTTAGTAAAGTAGCAAAAGGTAATATAGAACACTAAAGCCAGTGTTGGTGAGGCTGGAGGTAAATGACAAAGCATAGCTGCAAGCCTGGCAATTGTTCAGAATTCCTGGTCATATGTGGCAAAACTGTAAGCAGGAACCATTTTTAAAAAATCACTATTATTTCTCCCCACATAGCTCAGTGTCTCTTACACATAATAGGAATGCAAATATTTGATGGATAGATGAAAGAGTAGATGGATAGACAGATGAAACTATTCTTATCCTTTTACTTGTTAATTCTACTTTGAGGCCTATGCACCAAAGAATTAATCCAAAAAATAGTATTTTGCTGCTATTTATAAAAGCGGGGGAGAAAAATGGAACATTACAAATGCCAATAATAGGAGAATACTTAGGTTAGGGTGCTATACCCACATCATGGATTCCGTTTAAATAAGAAAAAAAATCCACAATAGATACAAAATGAGATTTGCTCTCTGTGTCTGGGAAAAATGGCAGAATTGAGGGTTCCAATTCAGAGCTGTGTCCTGTGTGGTTGACATTTGTCAATTATGTGAAGGTGGAAGAATGCAGCGATAACAAGATGGGCCTGCAGGAAACCTTCCTGTTTATATGGAGAACAGGAGAGAGAGAGAGAGAGGGAAGAAGCTAGACAACGCTTTTTAAATAAAAGTCAATGAAGAGATCAAAACTGAAGTTTCCTTACATTCTTGGTCAAGAGGTGTTGAGAGCTTTTGACTCTTCTTCTGGCTGGACTGGACACTGTGAAGAGAGATAAAGGAATGGTTTTAGAGAACACCCATGAGGCTGACATAGCTACAGCAGTGTTTCCCAAACTTTTGACATATGTGTACCCCTTCTATAATTTTCATAATGCTGAGTATCCCTTGTACTCATGAGAACATAGAATTAGGCACAGCTAAGCATGGTGCAGTGCATATCCCCACCAAACTCCGGTGTAACGTGTACCCCCACCAAACTCTTCCCGTACCCCTGGGGGTATGAGTACCACACTTTGGGAAACACTGAGCTACAGTAACAAAACTGAGAGGGCTTGCACCTGGAGTGAGGGAGGGGCTGAGGACGGGGACTGGGAAGAAGAGGCAGGTTCAATGGCAATTTTAGATGATATTTGGTAGAGTGAACCGACCTACACAGCAGCATTATTCATAATAGCCAAAAGGTGGACACAACCCAAATGTCCGTCACCAGATACGAGTAAATGAATAAAGTGTAGTCTATACATTCAGTAGAATATTATTCTTCCTCAAGAAAACAAAAACAAAAACAAATTGTAATACGTGCTGCAACATAGATGAAACTTGAAGACATTGAGCTGAGTGAAATAAGCCAGACACAAAAGGACAAAGGCTGTATGAGTCCACTATATGAGATACCTGGAGTAATCACATCTATAAAGACAGAAAGTGGAACAGAGGTGAGCAGGGGCTGGGAAATGAGAAATAGAGAGTTATTGTTTAAGGCAGAGATTTCCAACTGGTGTGCCACAAGAACTTTCGAAACATGCTATACATGATTATTTTAGTCAAGAGCAGTAACTTCTTTTCCCTTAGATTGTTAGTGAAAAAATGACAACAGTCATCTGGTGTGAATGCTCCCTCTCTCTCTTTTTATTTTTATTGATTTATTGGGGTGACACTGGTTAACAAAAAACACAGGTTCCAGGTGCATAATTCCACAACATATCATCTGTATACTGTATTGTGTACAATATCCCACTTATCCCCTTCCACTTCCCCTTACCCTCTGTCCTCCTGACAATTACCACATTGTTGTCTGTGTCCATGAGATTTTTCTTCCTTTTAAACATTTATTTTTAGAAGTTTATTCTTTTTTTTTTTTTCTCAATCCCTCCACCCTCCAAGAATGCCCTGTATTGAACCATAAATATATAGGTCATATAATAGAGTTGCATCTTCTCGGTCCCATTGAATAATAAGGTTGCATTTGATTGGTTAATTCTTGGTACCAGAAATCCTTATATACAAACTAGAGGCCCGATGCATGAAATTTGTGCAAGGGGCTCGGCCTTCACAGCCCCAGCTTCACCCAGAAGGTCGTCAGGATGGTTGTTCTACTGCTTGGTCTAATTAACATATTAGCTCTTTATTATATAGGATTTAGGCACCAGATTCTTTAAAAAAAAAAAAAAATATATATATATATATATATATATATATATATATATATATATATTATTGATTTTTTTTTACAGAGAGGAAGAGAGAGGGATAGAGAGTTAGAAACATCTATGAGAGAATCATCGATCAGCTGCCTCCTGCACACTCCCTACTGGGGATGTGCCCACAACCAAGGTACATTTGACTGGAATCGAACCTGGGACCCTTCAGTCCACAGGCTGACGCTCTATCCACTGAGCCAAACTGGTTTTGGTGGCACCAGATTCTTTAAAAAGTCACTTTGGAACAAAAAGGGTAGGTAATTCCTATTATGATTAATTATTATTTTTGTAAATCATTCAAAACTATAGCTATTTTTTGACATATTGGCAAAAATATATATATATTTTTGGAGTGCACAGAATTTTAGTAATTAGTTTATGTGTGCCATGAGAAGAAAAGGTTAAAAATCACTGGTTTAATGGGTACAGAGTTTGTTAGGAATGATGACAAAGTTCTGGAAATGGAGAGTGGTGATAGTTACACTCCAATCTTAATTTCGAATTGCTACAGAACTGTATACTTAAAAATTGTGAAATGGTAAGTTACCTAGTGTGTATATTTTACCACACACATAAAAAGCTTAAAAAAATCAATTAACCACAAAAAAAATTAGTTGAAAAAAGGTGTGCATTTTGTTGAAAATGGAGACACCCAGGCATCTCTCTTCCACGTTACCTCTAGGGTAATTTACTGGGAACCGAAATCCCACCCTGTCACGCCCTGCCTACCTCTGAAATGACCTCTTGCCTCCTGTCAGGTGAGTGACCAGAGGAGCACTGTGCAGCCCTGACACCCACCGCCCAGCGTACAGCCAGCAGCCAGGGCTCCCCACTCCTTTCACTTGGGTGCGGATCTGAACTTGACCGCTTGCTGTTACGAGACTTGAGCGAATTACTCATCCTCTCTAAGCCCTCACGTTCCTCATCTGTAAATTAGGGGTAATAACACCCACCTCCGAGGGCTGCGGTAAGGATTAAATAAACTGATTTGTACTCCTATTATATAAAGCCTTTGGCCTACCACCTGGCAAAGAGTAAGTTCCCAGGTATTAGTAGTGATTGTTATGATTTTCCTCTTTCTCTGTAAGATGAGGGTTGGTGGGAGGAATAGGTGATGACTTGTAGAGACCATAGCATTCCATTAAAGTGTCTCTTTCTGGGTTTTTCTCCATTTCCTCTTTCCCCTATTCCCCTCGCTAACTAACCCTTCCCCATCATTGTGTATCTCCAAGCAGGTTATTTTGAACGCCGTTGGTACTGTTTACCCCAGAATGAAGCCCAGTGTAGTGTGCCTCAGGAAATAGCTGCTGGTATAGCTTCTTGGTAAAACCACAGTTTTTATCTTTTGTATTTACTGTGAATTGTGGCTCTGACGCCTTTCCCTGAAAGGTCTTTCTTTCTCTAGACTAGGGGTGTCGAACTCAATCAGAGAAGGGGCCAAAACCTAAAATCCAGCCTAAATCGCGGGCCGAATGGTTTACTGAACAGTCATAAACTGTCATTGTGATGGAAACGCAGCGCAGTGCAGTGATGACAGCGCAGTGCGGGCCACATTGCAAGGCCTGGCGGGACGGATTTGGCCCGCGGGCCTTGTGTTTGACACATGTGCTCTAGAAAGTAAAAAGACGTACTGTCCTTAGTTACGGACTTGTTTTATGTCCAGTGCCTTTAAACTATTTAAAACACTCCATAATATTTGCTGTGGCCATAAAATACTTAAGTGCCTTTAAAATCCTTTAAGAAATGCCATAACATTTTTGTGAGGTATTAAGATGGCTCAGCTAAAAAAAAAAAAATTAAAATTAAAATAAATCACTATTAGGTTGAACCCAATACATGTGTGTTGGAAAGAGGGATATAATACAACATTAATAAATGCCACAATAGCTATGGCCAGTTTGGGTCGATGGATAGAGCATCAGCCTACAGACTAAAGGCTCCGGGGTTCAATTCTGGTCAAGGGCACATGTCTGGGTTTCGGGCTTGATCTCCAGTAGGAGGCAGCCAATCGGTGGTTCTCTCTCATCATTGATGTTTCTCTCTCCCTCTCTCTTCCTCTCTGAAATCAATAAGAATATATTTAAAAAAAATAAATGTGATAACTCCCCATGAAGTTTTATTAAGTGGATGGCTTATTTGCCAAATCTCATTCACATTCCCAGCAACTCTGTGAGGCGGGTGCTCTTCATTAAAAAAAAAAAAAAAAGTATTTATTGATTTGAGAGAGATTGAAATAAATGTTATTGTTTCACTTATTTATGCATACATTGGCTGATTCTTGTATGTGCCCTGTCCAGGGATGGAACCCACAACCTTGGCATATTGGGACAATGCTGTAACCAACTGAGCTACTCGACGAGGGCATAGATACTCTCCATTTTATAGACGGGGATGCTGCGGGTTGTGGTCACATAGTCGATGGTGGGACAAGGCCTATACTCTTTTTTTTTTTTTTTAAATATATTTTTATTGATTTTTCTTACAGAGAGGAAGAGAGAGAGATAGAGAGCTAGAAACGTCGATGAGAGAGAAACATTGACTAGCTGCCTCTTGCACACCCCCTACTGGGGATGTGCCTGCAACTAAGGTACATGCCCTTGACCGGAATCGAACCGGGGACTGGAATCGAATCCCGGGACCCTTCAGTCCACAGGCCGACGCTCTATCCACTGAGCCAAACCGGCTTCAGCCAAATACTCCTTTTCTAGACAAGGACTTCCTAAGCAGTGAAATGTGCATATATACCGACGAATACGTGGCTTAAAATCATGAGATGGCCGTGAATAAAAACGGCATGAAAGAAATATGGGATTAAATAATTTATCTTTGACCTAACATATTCATTGTTGTAAGTATGGAATAAAAATGGAAATCACGTTGTACGTGATGTATTTAATGGTGCTCACGTTATGCCAGGGGCTGTTCTAGATGCTTCATATAATTTCTCTATATCTCGTACTCGCCCTTCCCACATCATAACCCTGGGAGGTGAGTTCTAGTTCTCCCTTTTACAAAAGTGAAAGTTCAGGCCCAGCGAGGATAAGTAGCCTGCCCTAGGCCACACAGTGCAGAAGAGGTAGCAGTTTTTGGTCACTATGCTAAGCACATGAAGCCAAAGGCCCTATTAAAAAAAAAAAAAAAATATATATATATATATATATATATATATATATATATTATTATTATTATTATTATTTTTTTTTTTTTTACAGAGAGAAAGGGAGAGGGATAGAAAGTTAGAAACATCGATGAGAGAGAAATATCGATCAGCTCCCTCCTGCACATCCCCTACTGGGGATGTGCCCGCAACCAAGGTACATGCCCTTGACTGGAATCTAACCTGGAACCTTTCAGTCTGCAGGCTGATGCTCTATCCACTGAGCCAAACCAATTTTGGCTAAAGGCCCTGTTTTGAATAATTTTATTCATGGGAAGTATGATATTGCTCCTGAACTGCATAATAACTTTTAATTAAAAAGAACCATATGGCTTTGATTTTTTTCTCCCTTTAAACATTTTTTAAATGGAAAAAAAAAGAGAGACAGAAAACAGACATACTAACACTTTCTTCCAATTTGTTTCCTTCTCATATAAAAGTGATAAAAAGTGAGAGGGCAAGTTTAGGTCCCCTCTATCTTCCCTCCCTCCCTAGGGATACTAACATCACCGCGTTTATCCGTATCTTTCCAGCCTATGTTTTCACACCTTTTTCATATGTACCCATAAACAATATATGGCATTGTTTTATATTTCCAACCTTAATCCTTGTTATCATACATATATACATGTTCAGCCTGTTTGTCCCTCCTCCCCCAACATGCTATTTCAAGACTTATGTCCATACACGCAGATTGAGCTCATCGCTGTGGATGACTGTGGAGTATTCCATAGTGTGATGACACCACGTGTTACCCCTTCCCCTCTTCAAGGACACTTAGGTTCTTTTCAGATTTGCCGTGAGAGCATCAGTGCCACCGTGAGCACCTGCATCTGAGGGAGCAGAGGAGCCGCTGGGCCAGAGGGTCCTGGCCACCCTGCCTCTCCACGCACCTTTCAGAGGCTCCAGAGAGAGTGCCAACCCTTGCCTGCGGATTGACCCCAAGCTCCTTTTCTCTCTGGCTCCTTGGCAATAGATGTCTAAAGCTTCCTTTACGTTCCTCTGGCTGTCTGTGGCCAGGCCGAGCGTCTCCCCTACACCCCACCCCCTCCAGCAAGGGCCCTGGGAAGAAGAAGAAGAAAGGAATTGTTTGAACAGGGGTCACACCACCAGCCAACACCCAGCCCGTTTCATTCAAGGCTGACAATGAGGCCAGGGCTCTGACAATGAGGCCAGGGCTCAGCCGGAGCCCCCGGACTGTGCCAGCACGGCAGGGGCTGCGGGGACAGAGCAGGGGCCGCAGGGAAGAGGTCAGAGCTTTGGAGGGGGCAGGGGACCTGTTCCGTCTATAGACACCTGCCAACGTCTGAGCTCTCGCTGGAAGCCCCTCCTTTGACTTGACACCATTGGCCTCAGAGGGCAGAGGGTGGAGGGCTGACAAAGTCACACGTCTGAGTGGCGCTGGTTCCAGGCTAAGTGTGAGACCGTGGCCCTGGGGTCTGGAGGGAGGCCAGCCAGGGTGAGGGCATTATGTGACCACTTCCTTGGACTTTGTGTCCCCGAGGGGATTATTTCTATCTCCCTGCACAGCTAGAAATCGGGTTTGGGAGGCAGCTGGTTCTCATTTCAGGACCCACTTGCTCACCGGAGAAGAGGAAAGGATCTACCTAGCTGCTCAGGGAATTTTGCTTTCATCTCTGCCTCCTCCCACCATGGCTTGCTGTCGCTTTGGTTTGGCGAGGTGGGCTGCAGTATTTTAAAGTGAAACAGGAATATATCACTGCCCTTCTTCCCCCCGCCCCACCTTCCCCTCCCTGGATTGTTTCTCCACGATGGGTGTTTATCCAGGTGCCTCCTTTTCAGAAACAACAACAACAATACATATCATCAAAATCCGAGAAGCGGTCCAGAGACCTAGGATGGGGGGAGGATGGGGGAACCTCAGTAAAACAGCATGTGCCGGCCCCCTCCCTCCAGCACCAGGTGTCTCACGAAGGGAACAGTCAAGGACAAGTTCACTTACCCTTGGAAGGAATCACAGTGGTGAACACTTCTATGTTTTCGTCGCTGCAGCTATAAATCTGATGCATCCTGCCAGCCTTCTCTCCCCTCGCTCGCCTGGGAACCGGAGGGCCTCTCTGTCAACCCCTAGTCGCGAGGTCTCCTAACCCAGTCTGGCTGGGGGATCATTGTGTGCAGGTCCACAAAAGGCAGGCTGGTGCTGTGAGCTCATCTCGTCCCAGTCTTCACGGCAACATTTCCGAATCCCATCTGTCTTTTTTTTTTTTTTTTTTTTTTTTTTTTTAATGAATCCTATTATTGCAAACCTTTGATTGAGCGTGGAGGCTTCAGTCCCCGCCCCGCCAGGATGTAGTTAACATTTTTTACTTTGCCGTGTCTGCCGCAGTAGTGAATTTGAAAGTCTTTTGTGAAGTGATGAAGTGAAATCGCCTACTCTCGGTGAGTGCCAAGCTTGGCTGGAGAATTTCACCGAAAAGGAAACGTGATCTTCAGGAACAGCAATTCTCCTTTTTCTTTCACTTTTTTTTTTTCTTTTTTTTTCTTTTCGCTCAGGAAGAACTGGAGAGTCAATAACTTGTCGCGTATTAATTTGGCTTCCTTCAAAATTTCTATTTTAAGCAAAAGGACTGTTTCTCCACAGCATTTTCGCCTCCCACCCAAGTACACTAAGGCTGACATTTCCAGAGAGCCGTGTGCTTAGCATCTCCTTGTACAACTTCTCAGGTGCTCACAGGACGTGGGATAAGCAGTGTTCCCACACTCAAGGTGCTCAGCTACAGGAAGGCTATATTTTACCCTGTATCTTGCATATATTATACACAAAAATAAGGTTGAAACATGGATGTGTTATGTCCCAACGCACTGTCTTTCATGACACCAGTACAGATTTACTTCTTCATATTGGTAATGATATAATAATATTAACAAAGAGAGTTGGCATTTGTGAAATGCTTGCTAAGAGCTAGGAAGCCTGATAGATAATCTCATTTAATGTCTACAACTACCCAATAAGACTATTTTTGCCACCTTATAGGTGAGAAGAATAGGACATGAAGAAATTGAGTAATCTGCCCAAAATTAAAATACCTAGTTCAGCCAGGCCATTATGGCTCAATGGTTGAGCATTGACTTATGCACCAGGAGGTCGTGGTTTGATTCCTAGTTAGGGCATATGCCCAGGTTTCGGGCTTGATTCCCAAAACCACTGAGCACACCGGCCAGGCTAGCAGCAATTTTAAAAAAAGAAGTCTGGGGTTTGGTTAACCACACACTTCATAAGAGGCAATATTATTTAAAGGGCAGGGACTAAAACACACAAATATGGTTTCAAGGACCTGGTATTAAATAAAATCAAGACCCCTTTGGGGTACTCAGAAGCCAATCAGTTACCTGGATTAATCTCAAAGGATCCAGGCTGGATTAGGCTTTTTCTAAGAAAGCCAAAATTTAATCAAATAGAGCATATTGTACTATGTTTAATGTTTAAGCTTGAAACATATAACTAAATGTGTTAAAGTGAGGAAACACACCCAGAAAAAAAATTTCTAAGTCATTTTTTATCCGTTTGAAATATATTTTAAATAATAAAAATAACACCTACTTATTATAACAAATTCAAAAATTGTAGATGGGTACGTAGAAAAAGTGATACATACTTCCCCAATTCTTGTCTCACTTCCTAAAAGCAATCATTGCTTACAGATTTGTGGGTGTATTGTGCATTTCCAGATTTTTTCATATTATATGAATGTATACAATTAAAAAAAAATAGAAATAGAGTCACACTACATATACACACATACACACATCCATGCACACACTCATGTGTGAATATATAGAGTTCCCAATCTTTAAATAGATGAGCAGAAAACTACATTATACTAATTTATTCATTTCTTTCTTGATAAGCCTATAGCTTACTTCCATTTTTTTAAAAGTAGAAATAACTCTAGCTGGTTTGGCTCTAGTGTATAGAGTGTCAGCCTGTGGACTGACAGGTCCTGGGTTCAATTCCTGTGAAGGGCACATGCACAGGTTTCAGGCTTGATCACCAGTACGGGGCATGCAGGAGGCAGCTGATCAATGATACTCTTTCTTCACTGATGTTTCTATCTTTCTCACCCTCTCCCCTTCTCTCTGAATATCAAGAAAAATATGTTTAAAAAAATAAAAATAGAAATAATGGTGCAAAGTACACCATTATAACATCTTTATGTATGTCATGTAATATTTAATTCGCTACATTTATACAATAGTTGTGGGAGTGTGGATCATAGCTTATGCATGCTTAACATTTTGAGGGCCCTAGCTGGTTTGACTCAGTGAATACAGCATTGGCCTGAGGACTGAAGGGTCTTAGGTTTGATTCCAGTCAAGGGCACATGTGTGGGTTTCAGGCTCAATCCCCAGTTGGGGGTGTGCAGAAGGCAGCCAATCAGTGATTCTCTCCCATCATTGATGTTTCTCTCTCTCTATCTCCCTCTTCCTTCATCTCTGAAATCAACACAAATATTTAAAAATTTTTGAGAGATTTTTCCAAATTGCCTTCCAAAATTTTTTCCTCAGTGGACACTTTCACAATAGGATATGAGGGCCTTATTCCTCACACCCTTGGCAATACTCAGTATTACTAATCTTTAAAATTTTTGCCAACACGATCCTGTTTGACTTTTGTGCTCTGAGTCTAGAATCTTGATAATATTACACCATTAGGGTCCTTTTAGCACAAGTATTTCACAGTGTCTGGAGGGGTGAATGACTGAGTCCTCATTTTGGAATATAAAATCTATAATCCGTACACAATAATAGGTATACATCACACCTATGAGTACTGGTAACAACCTCTGTCCAGGACCAGACCAAGTAAGTAAGGGAAGTCTGTGCTGGCCTGGGGTCTTCTCTGAAATTTTGGAAAGTCACTGCTGAGAGTTCTACATTGTTGGCACATGGATGTTCACTTATAACCCTTTAAAATTCTTGCTTTGTGGCTGACTGCCTTCCACTTACCTGCCCTTCCTGTTTGGGGAAAATTCTGCCTCAATTCAGATCCCATGGTAACAGTATTTCCCCATTCACAATGATCAACAAGACAACATCCATATTGAGACTTCCTAGGATTGAGCCTTCCTAGTGCTGGGAGACCACACAATCCCACCAAAAGGTTGGTCAATGATGCACCATTCAGATTGGTTTATTACCAAAAGGGTGAATTATGGACAAAAAAGAAAAGAAATTCTATGTAAGGTAACAATAAATTCCTACTGGACAGGTCATGGTGGGAAGTCATGTCCCAGGTGCCTAACATTTTAGTACAAGGTTTGCTTTTGCCTCGAGCAAGCTCTGTCCATTGTTTCTGTGCATCTAGGTTAACCCACCTTTTGAAATCACCACCCTCAAGAAAGCACATAATCTTATTAACAATCCTGTAATTTCAAATGCATAGAAGAAGCTGCAAAACTTATTCTCTGGGACATTTGAGATCTTGCTTCCTGGCGTTATGTTGTCAGTTTGGCTCAAGTAAACTCATAAAAGTTCAAAATAACCAAAATAAAAACCTGCCTCTGTACTTAACTCCAGGGCAATCAATTAATGTCCATGGAAGCCTTTATTTCTTTACTGTGTGCTCTGCAAAATGCTTGGCTACCTGTTTGGCTAAAGGGAAGAGCTGAGAGTTGCTAATCCTGTTTCTCTCTTCAACCTGGGAGCTCTGCAGACCCACCCTCTAAAAGGTGCTGAAGAAGTCCTCTCTGAGAAGTTCCGTGTAGGCTTCAATGTGCATGGGACTCACTGGGGGTCTTGTTAAAGTGCAGATTCCGATTCCACAGGTCTGGGGTGGGCCTGAGAGACCGAGTTTCTAAGGAGCCCCTGTGACGCCCTCCTTGCTGGTCTCAGGACGAACAGGGTGTGAGAGCAGAGAGTTCAGGTAAGGAGAGCAGATGTTCCTGACCTGGGTGCATTAGAATTATGGGGCACTCAGCTGCCTCCACACCCACCCCAGACTATTTAAATACGATTCCCTAGGGCCCAAATCTATGTATAAAAAACACTGCTAGTGATTATAATATGCAGTGGTTTTTAAATTGTCCCCAGACTGCAGGTCAGCAGCACCTGGCAACTTGTTAGATAGGCAAATTCTCAGCTCCCTGCCCTTCAACCACAACCAGAAACTCTGGGGGTAGAGAGCCCAACAATCGGTTTGAACAAGCTCTCCAGGGCTTCTGAGATTTGGTAGAGATTGAGAACCACTTCTGAACAGAAGAGGATTCTTGACAAAGAGCTCCTCCAAGAATTGGATATGTGGTTCTTAAGCCTGGCTGCACATCCGCTCTGCTAAGCAGCTTGATAAACACCCCATGCCTGGGCCCTACACCCCGCTCCTTCTGATTCTGAAGACCTGGAGTGGTTCCTAGGAGTATGTACATGGCTTTAAAACCATGAGGGGGATGTGTATTTAGGGGCTAAGCAGAGGTTGCCTTCAATGTGAATGGTGGTCTGCAGGTTCCTGGCTTGCACCTTGCAGTATTCATTCATTCACAGCACATTTATAGAATTCATCATGTGCCAGACACTATGTGGATAATTTACTGTTGAATACCTATTATGTACCAAGCACTTTATAGATTCGCCCTACAACAACCTTGCAAGGTAGGCCTACTACCCGTTTTACAGAAAATAGTCCCTAACCCGGGCTAGTCATGACTCCAAAACCTGCACTCCCCACCATGCCACAGTGCTAGTCTTTGCTGACTTGGGGATATCAGACTGTGGAGATACACTTGTAATTTTAGCAGGTATAACATTCAACTTCCAGTTCGTGTGTGTGTGTGTGTGTGTGTGTGTGTGTGTGTGTGTGAAAGAGAGAGAGAGAGAGAGAGAGAGAGAGAGAGAGAGAGAGAGAGAGAGAGAGGTAGTTTCGATCTTTAACTTATGCAAAATAATGTTTTTTGTGGGTGAAGAAAATTCCTTATATAAGGGCAGGTGCTTGGAGTATTGGTAGTCAGATAGAATATACATTACCCAGTTAAGTTTTAATTTAAGAAGAATAGAGCTCCTAGTATATGTATATCTCAAATATTGCATGGGGCATACTTATATTAAAATTTATATTGTTCCCTGAAATTCAAATTTAATTGGGTATCATGTACTTTATGCTGAGTAAGGCCTTCGAATTGACCTCCTTCTTGACTCACTGGAGGATGGCTACCTTGGGAAGAGGCATGATCTCAGGCAAGGTGGTTCTCCTCAGTGGAGCGATGTTGGTTTCTGAAAAACCACAGTAGGTGTTGCCTGATCTCCCTCTGAAATGTGTTGCTTTCCTGTTTAGCGAGGATGGCTTATCTGCCTTGTTCAATGCTTGAACTGTTGTGTGAGCATAATTTTTTCTTATTCTTTAGGAAAAGATAGAATTAGGCAACAATGCTTGTACTATACAATGCAAGTTCCTATTTTCCGGCATTCAATTTGTGAAAACTTTTCATTCTGAATACTTTTAAACTATACAAAAGTGAAGAATTCTATATAATAAAAGGCTATGTATGCAAATTGTCCCCTCAACTGGGAGTTTGACTGGGAGTTCAACCAGAGGGTGGGCCGACCGGCCAACTGCCCATGGCCCCTCTCCTGGCCAGCTCAGCCCAATAGGCCTGATCACCCCAGTCATGGACCCCACCCATGCACTAATTTGTGCAATGGGCTTCTAGTATAGTATAATAAACCCCAGCTTCCCATAACTTATTTTTTAATCAATAAACAACCGATGGGCAACTCTTTTTTCA